CCCTGCACTGCCCTCTTCTCTCCCTACCCTTCCTGGGGCTTACCAGGCACCCCCTCAAGGCCTGATCCATCCCCAACCCATCTCAGCTCTCCTGCGCCCCTCCAAGCATGGCCCACCTGCGCGGCAGGGGCAGAGGGAGGAGCACACACTGGAGGGAGGGGCAGAGAGGACACTCAGCATTGCCCAGTGCAAGGGGGCTGGCAGCCCCCAGAAGACAACCTGTCCATGCAACGGCTGAATGGATGGACCAGCAGGTGGCAGGTGGGGACAGAGGGCAGACACAGGGCCACTCATACCCCTCCCCTATTCCCCAGAGCAGAGGTGCCCCACCCTAGCTGCACGTGAGAATTACCAGGGAGCTTGAAAAATGCCAGATCTCTAAGTCCCTTCCCCATACACTGATTGAATCAGTTCATGTCTCTCCACGTTGGTCATCTGGTTCCAAAAAGCAAGGTGCACTGGGGAAAGAGGCAGCCCAGGACATGGAAAAGAGAGGGGGCTCTGGAGCCACCGTTTGGAGTTGGAGCCCTGTCTCTGCCTCTCGCTGGCTGTGTGATCTCAGGCTGGCACCTTAACCTCCCTGAGCCTCAAGGTCGCCATCCATAAGATATGCTTCCCTCCCAGAAGGGGCTAGGGATGGGTGATTGTACATGTAAACGCTTCCGCTGGTGCAGGGTGCCCAGGAGGAGTGTGAGAAGGAGGGCTGTCATGGTTCCCCTGAGGCCACCTCTGACTCCTGGCAGGTAGGCTAGGCTCCAGGACCACCTGCCCCCTCTGGGGAGTTCAGATGTGAGCGAGACCCAGGGCGGTGGGGGCAGCCTTGGATCCACAGACCCAGCTTCGGAGGCTATTCTGGTTCCAATTCAGAATCCCTGGCTCCTGACTCAATGGGCTTTGTCCCAGAGATGTAATTTCTATTTTGATTCCATGTGACATTTAATGAAATGGCTTTCAGACACCACACAGTGACTGAGTTATGAAACCACAGCTTCTGCATCCTCAACACGCCTCACGATGACAGGACCCCTCTTGTCGCTTCGGAAGCTGCCCCAAGTCTCTTGAGGTCTGGGGCCCAGGACCACTGAGGTGGGGTCTTCACTGCGAAGTCCCTGGGGTCTGCCCCAGGCCCACTGTGTGGCACCCGCGTCTTGTCCTAGCTGGACTCACAGCAGCCTCTGCCTGGGTTCCCGCCTCAGTCTCCCTCTTGCCAATCCAGTGCTGTTCTAACTGCAGATCAAAAATATTCAGGGAGACAGGAAGCCAATGTAGAGGATTGCAAACAGCATTGTTCGAAGAACAAATGAGCCGGAATAGAAGCAGAACAGAACACGCCAGAACGAGCTGCACATGGCAAGGGCGACTGCAGCTCACAAGCCTGGGCTGTGAGTGTGCACACTGGGTCTCTATGTACGGGAATTTGAGGAAGTTTGAATGACATGGCTCTAACCCACCACCGTGCCACTCCCCAGTTACAACTTTCGGGATGGACTTCAGACCCCTCAGTATGGCACTAAAAAACCCCTCCATACCTGGCCCCTTTCTGCCCACCCACCTGGTCCACAGCCAACTCCAACCACACTGAGCCACTGGGTTCTGCAAACTCTGCCAGCAGCTCCCATACCCGCCCAGAATGCAAGAGCCTCCCTCCTCTCTCCAGGCCTCCTTCCCTCCCTCCCTCCCCTCCAACAGCTTCCACTCTCCCACACACTCCTACCGATCCTTCACCCTTCAAGGGAAGGGCTACCTCCTCTTTGGTGTCTCCCTGATTCCCCAGCAGCCTTGGGGGCTCCCGGTCCAGTGCTCATGCTACATGGTGCACACTTTGCATAACACGGTCACCCCCGCCAGCCGGTGGGCTCATTGTTTTCATGCCTCCCCGCCCTTCCCCCAGTGGGCAGCTGGGACTTCCCTCGAAGGGCTGGCTGAGCCCCTTGGTGCTCAATGTCGTACCATGTACTGACAGCAAGTGCAGGCTGACACGGGGGCCTCTCCCAGGTGACCCTCTCCACATGCGGGACCTCTTCCAAGTGACCCTCTCCACATGCTGACCCTCCCTGGGTGAAGATGACCTCCTAGATTCTATAGAAGCAAAGATATAAATATTTCTAGAGCCCTTCCGTTCAAAAGGAAGTAGAAGCCCTACAATTTCTCAACAACTTGGCTATTAAAAATAGGAACTCCACCTACACGCCGGAACAGTTTGTTGGCGTGGAAGGGCCAGAATCGTGAGGTCACACATGTGTTCGGGACTGAGAAAGCTGCTGGGTCCAAAAGCTGAGCACTGTAAGAAGGCAGGCAGCTGTCTGCAGCTGGTGCTACAGCCCTGAGGCCCCAGAAATCTCTAGAACCACAGGGATGCCAAATGGTACTCTGCCAAGAGTTTTATAAAACTCACTTCCCCACCACATCATGTGAACATCTGCACAGCACAGGTTCCAAAGGAAATTGAAAAAGAAATAAATCGTGCATTAGCAAGCAGATCTGAGACCTCGTCTCTGACCTTGGAAGAGTGTGAGGAGATGCCTCAGACTCCGGCTCCTGCTGCCGCCTCCTCCCACTCCCAGTCCTCAGAACAGAGCCCCAGACCCGGCCCTGAGCTGGGGTCCCCTAAGGATTCAGTCTTCCGCGTTCATTTCCTGGCCCTCAACGCCTGAAGCTCCATCCTTCCGCCACTCCTTTGGGTTACAGGAGAATCCCCAACAGGCACTCTGCATGAACAGTGACGGCAAAGCGGACATGCATTCTGTCAGCATCCACAGTCACTCCAGAGACAGCCTGGGTGGAGACGGGGGAGGAGGAAGAAGGGGAAGAAAGTGGGCAGAAGGGCCAAGCGCGATGACTCACGCCTGTAATCCCAGCACTTTGGAAGGCCGAGGCAGGCGGATCACAAAGTCAAGAGATCGAGACCATCCTGGCCAATATGGTGAAACCCTTTTTCTACTGAAAATACAAACATTAGCTGAGCATGGTGGTGCACACGTGTAGTCCCAGCTACTCGAGAGGCTGAGGCAAGAGAATTGTTTGAACCCAGGAGGTGGAGGTTGCAGTGAGTCAAGATGGCGCCTGGCGACAGAGTGAGACTCCATCTCAAAAAAAAAAA